AAGCCCCCACCGGCCCCTCCGCCCAGCCCCCTGCCCCCTAAATAACCTGGCCCAAACCCCCAAATCAACCCCCCCCCCATTTCTGCCCCAAGATCTGACACCTCGATTCTACCCCTCCCCCAGCCCCCCCACAGCAGGGCAAGTAGGCCGGTCCAGTCAGGCTGTACCAGTCCACACTGTGCACTGGAAAGACACCGAACCGGCCCCGGCCTCTCAAGAGCACAGAGCGGGGCAGGGCTGGGAGCGGTACAGCAGCCGGGGGAGCTGCTTGTGTTGTGTGAAGAAACACTTCCTTTTGTTTGTTTTAAACCCGCTGCCTGTTAATTTCATTTGGTCACCCTTAGTTCTTGTGTTCTGAGAAGGAGTAAATAACACTTCCTTTTTACTGTCTCCACACCCGTCATGACTTTATAGACCTCTATGATATCCCCCCTTAGTCGTCCCTTTTCCAAGCTGAAAAGTCCCCGTTTTATTCATCTCTGCACACAAGGAAGCTGTGCAGGGAGCTGGCTGGGATTCAAGTGAGGGCAGCGGCTTCAGTGAACGTTACTGAGCATGTTCCGGTCTCTGCAGCCTGCTCAGGAAACAGCAAAGTTGTAAAACATGATAAGAGGGAGATTCTCAGAAATCACGTGATGGCATCTCAACTGTTTTCTCCTCCCCTCTCATCCTCCCAACAGCAAGTCGCAGCCAGCCCATCCTCTGCTTCTTCCAGCAACACAGGGCCTGGCAAGGAGGAGAGGGGACCACACTGAACCCCCCCCACACACACACACAGGATGGGAGAGGGGGGTGAAGAGCCCCAGGAGCTGCCGAAGGAGCAGAGGTGAGGCTGGGAGGCAGATGTGGGGGTGAAACTGGTGTGGGGGATTGGTGGAGGGGGCAGATGTGGTGGGGGGATTGGTGTGGGGGGCAGTGGTGCAAGTAAAATTATTTTATTCCCCTCCCCATCCCACGTTACCTGGGGGGGGAAGGGAGCTGGGAGTGGTAGGACAGACCTTGCCTGGAAGCCCAGGTGGTGGGGCCGGGGGTTCTGCTCCTTTCCCCATTAGGAGGAGCAGTAGTGCGTGGGAAAGGAGCAGAAGGCAGGTGTAGTGTTGGAAACTGCTCCCTGTAGGAATGTGCTACCTGTAGCAGTTACTGCTACATAATGGATTGTAAGAAACTGCTATTGTAAAAAAACCTGCTCTCTGATGTAGCAAATGCCTACAGATAGCAGTTTGTCCCCTGCACTCTTTTGTTGTCACCTGCACTCATAGCAGGACAACTATTATCTAGACTATTCCTGACAGGTGTTTGTCTAACCCGCTCTTAAAAATCTCCACTGATGGAGATTCCCTTCCCTAGGCAATTTATTCCAGTGCTTAACCACCCTGACAGGAAGTTATTCCTAATGTCCAACCTAAACCTCCCTTGCTGCAATTTAAGCCCATTGCTTCTTGTCCTATACTCAGAGGTTAAGGAGAACAATTCTTCTCCCTCCTCCTTGTAACAACCTTTTATGTACTTGAAAACAGTTATCATGTTTCAATCTTTCCTCATAGGTCATGTTTTCTAGACCTTTCATCATTTTTGTTGCTCTTCTCTGGACTTTCTCCAATTTGTCCACATCTTTCCTGAAATGTGGCACCCAGAACTGAACACAATACTCCAGTTGAGGCCTAATCAGCGCGGAGTAGAGCGGAAGAATTACTTCTCATGTCTTGCTTACGACACTCCTGCTAATACATCTGAGAATTATGTTCCTTTTTTTGCAGCAGTGTTACACTGTTGACTCATATTTAGCTTGCGATCCACTATTACTCCCAGATCCCTTTCTGCAGTACTCCTTCCTAGGAAGTCATTTCCTGTTTTGTATGTGTGCAACTGATTGTTCCTTCCTAAATGGAGTACTTTGCATTTGTCCTTATTGAATTTCATCCTATTTACTTCAGACCATTTCTCCAGTTTGTCCAGATCATTTTGAATTTTAACCCTATCCTCCAAAGCACTTGCAACCCCTCCCAGCTTGGTATCATCCACAAACTTTATATGTGTGTTCTCTATGCTATTATTTAAATCATTGATGAAGATATTGAACAGAAACATATCCAGAACTGATCCCTGCAGGTCCCCACTCATGATGCCCTTCCAGCATTACTGTGAACCACTGATAACTATTCTCTGGGAACAGTTTTCCAACCAGTTTGCTTTTCTCCTTAGACTTGCTTCCCATGGGATCTTACCTACCAACTCCTCAAGTCTGCTAAAGTCTGCCTTCTTGAAATCCATTATCTTTATTTTGCTGATCTCCCTCCTACCATTCCTTAGAATCATGACTTCTACCATTTCATGATCGCTTCCACCCAAGCTGCCTTCCACTTTCAAATTCTCAATCAGTTCCTCCCTGTTTGTCAAAATCAAATCTAGAACAGCCTCTCCCCTAGTAGCTTTCTCCACCTTCTAAATTAAAAATTGTTTCCAATATATTCCAAGAGCTTGTTGGATAATCTGTGCCCTGCTGTGTTATTTTCCCAACAGATGTCTGGGTAGTTGAATTTCCCCATCACCAGCAAGAACATAAGGTTGTTCTTATTTACTGACTTGTCCTAATTTGCTAAAAACTGCTATATGATGTAGCTAATTCCTACAGACAGCAGTTTCTTACACTGTATAGTAGGAATTTGCTACCTGTAGCAAGGAGAGGTAGTGGATTGTTACCATTAGCAGTAACTGATACATATTAGCAGTTACTGATACATATGGTTGTTCTTATGTGCTGACTTGTCCTAATTTGCTAAAACTTGACAGTGGTGTGGGATGGAAGCATAAAGTCTTCAGCTTCCAAACGACCCTGCCTGGTGCACATATGTATCAATTACCTTTTAATAGAGGATTGTAAAAAATAGAGTGAGGTCATTTAAACATCATTTATTTTGCAGTTTCATTTACTGTGCTAAAAATGTAGCATCCTGACATGGATACTTCTGCCCAAGTGACCTGTGGGTTGGATTCATTGTAGTGGGTCACGGGACATGTGGAAGATAATTTAAACTCTTAATTTCCTTAGGGTTTGCCTTCAATATATTTCTATGCTGGTGCAACCTCTGACCATTACAGTTCATCAGCTCAGCAGGCAGGCACAGACAGCAATGCCCTTGTCCTGTTGCCTTGACTGAGGGTATGTCTACACTACGAAATTAGGTTGAATTTATAGAAATTAGTTTTTTAGAAATCCTTTTTATAGAGTCGATTGTCTGTGTCCCCACACAAAATGCTCTAAGTGCATTAAGTACCTAGGCTAGCGTCAACTTCTGGAGCGTTGCACTGTGGGTAGCTATCCCACAGTTCCCGCAGTCTCTGCTGCCCATTGGAATTCTGGGTTGGGATCCCAATGCCTGGTGGGGAAAAGTGGTGCAGGTGATTCTGGGTACATGTCATCAGGTGCCCCCTTCCTCCCTCCCTCCGTGAAAGCAACGGCAGATAATCGTTTCGCGCCTTTTTTTCCTGGGTTGCCTGTGCAGATACCATACCATGGCAAGCATGGAGCCCGCTCAGCTCACCATCACCGTACGTCTCCTGGGTGCTGGCAGATGTGGGACTGCATTGCTCATAGCAGCAGCTCATTGCCTTTTGGCAGCAGATGGTGCATTACGACTGGTAGCCATCGTCGTCGTCTCCTGGGTGCTCTTTTAGCTGACCTCGGTGAGGTCGGTCAGGGGTGCCTGGGCAGACGTGGGAGTGACTCAGGCAGGTCATTCCCATCTTCTGCCAAGCACCCAGGAGATGACGATGGCTAGCAGTCCTACTGCACCGTCTGCTGCCAGCCTAAGATGTAAAAGATACATGGAGTGGATCAAAACAAGAAATAGACCCAATTCGTTTTGTATTAATTTGCTTCCTCCCTCCCTCTGTTAAATGGCCTGCTAAACCCAGGGTTTTGAATTCAATCCTTGAGGGGGCCATTCTGTGTGACAGTTGTTTGTGTTTCTCCTTGATGCAAAGCCACCCCCTTTGTTGATTTTAATTCCCTGTAAGCCATGTTGTCAGTCGCCCCTCCCTCCGTCAGAGCAACGACAGACAATCGTTTAGCACCTTTTTTCAGCCCAGACGCCATGGCACTGGGATCATGGAGCCCCCTCAGATCACCACGGCAATTATGAGCACTATGAACACCACACACATTATCTTGGAGTATATGGAGAAGCAGAACCTGCCAAAGCAAAACCAGGCGAGGAGGCGACAGCAGCGCGGTGACGAGAGTGATGAGGACATAGACTTCTCACAAAGTATGGGCCCCGGCAATGTGCATATCATGGTGTTAATGGGGCAGGTTCATGCTGAAGAATGCTAATTCTGAGCCTGGGAAACAAGCATAAACTGCTGGGACTGCATAGTGTTGCAGGTCTGGGACAATTCCCAGTGGCTGCGAAACTTTCGCATGCGTAATGCCATGGCTTAATGCCATGGCTCATGAAGCTTTACACAGGCACCCTGGACAGTAGTCAGGATCTGTTCAACTATAGGCTGAGCAAGTGCAGAATGGTGGTAGAATGTGCATTTGGACATTTAAAAGCACGCTGGCGCAGTTTACTGACTCAGATAGACCTCAGCGAAACCAATATTCACATTGTTATTACTGCTTGCTGTGTGCTCCACAATATTTGTGAGAGTAAGTGGGAGACATTTATGGCAGGGTCGGAGGTTGAGGCAAATCGCCTGACCACTGATTATGCGCAGCCAGACACCAGGGCGGTTAGAAGAGTACAGGAGGGCGTGGTACGCATCAGAGAAGCTTTGAAAACCAGTTTCATGACTGGCCAGGCTACGATGTGAAAGTTCTGTTTCTTTCTCCTTGATGAACCCCCACCCTCCTTGGTTTATTCTACTCCCTGTAAGCTAACCACCTTCCCCCCCCCCTTCGATTACCACTTGCAGAGGCAATAAGTCATTGTTGCTTCACATTCATGAATTCTTTATTAATTCATCACACAAATAGGGGGATAACTGCCAAGGTAGCCTGGGAGGAGTGGGGGAGGAGGGAAGCACCAGGTGGGGAGGGGAGGAGAGAAGGACAAGCCCACACTTCACTTTAAAACTTATTGAAGGCCAACCTTCTGTTGCTTGGGCAATCCTCTGGGGTGGATTGGCTGGGTGGCCAGAGCCCCCCTCCACTGCGTTCTTGGGCATCTGAGTGAGGAGGCTATGGAACTTGGGGAGGAGGGCTGTGCTCCAGCTGCCTTTCCTGAACTCAACCATATGCTGGAGCATATGAGTTTGATCCTCCAGCAGCCTGAGTATTGACTCCTGCATTTTGTCAGCAAGTTGACACCACCTATCATCTTCCGCCTGCCACTTACTCTCTTCAGCCCGCCACCTCTCCTCGCATTCATATTGTGCTTTTCTGCACTCTGACATTGTCTACCTCCACACATTCTGCTGTGCTCTGTCAGTGTGGGAGGACAGCAGGAGCTCAGAGAACATTTCATCCGAGTGCATTTTTTTCGCCTTCTAATCTTCGCTAGCCTCTGCAAAGGAGAAACATTTGCAGCTGGTGGAGGAAAAAAAAGGAAGAGGGTAGTTAAAAAGACATTTTAGAGAACAATGGGTACACTCTTTCACGTTAAACCTTGCTGTTCACATTACGTAGCACGTGTGCTTTTGTTACAAGGTCGCATTTTGCCTCTTATATTGAGGGCCTGCCGGTTTGGTGTGAGAGATCACTCACGCAGTGCCAGGCAACAGAATTCGGCTTGCAGACAGCCATGGTAAGCCACAGTCTTTTGGCTTCTTTAACCTTCATAACATGTTGGAATGGTTTCAAACAGCAGCGCCCTCATTTCCCAT